TTGCCATTGAGCTACTGAATTGGAAAACTCAGCTTGCCTAGTGGATCTTACTATACTCAGAAACATTCCGGATGGAGAGAGTGCCAGCCACTTCATGAGATTCCATAGAAAACTTTTGAGGACCCTTGCTCCTCTAGAGCAGGGAAGAATCCCCGAATCCTAGCACCCAGCCCAGTCCATTGAAGCATGCATGCATCGTTGAACTTTAAGGCATGCTTCCTTAAGTAAATGTTATCATTCGACTTTAAAATACAAACATCTCTTCGAAAATCACATTAGAATTCGAACATTTAAAGATATTCTGAAGTCATTCTCAAAGTACAGTTTCTGTTTAGAACTGAGACATTAAAAGAATTACAGTGAGTATACTTCACCCATTGAGGGCCCCTCTCCCCTGATGAATTTAGATAGTGAAAAACTGGAAAAAGCAATCTTCTCAGTCAAGATCCTTTCAAATAGTCCTGCAAAGGGTTTAGATCCCCTGCCTTTTAAGATGCAAAAGAAAACTACTCCCTGGCTTGTACCCATTCAGATACACGTGTGTGTTGTTCAAGTCGTTGCAATTACTGGATCTGGCTTATTTAATCTCTGGCACTTTGTGTCATGTAAATGTCATTTGGTTAAACTTTCAGAGTGGAGTATTCAAGGAGCGGAGAGTAACGTAAAGGACTCACAGTAACTGTGTGCGCCATTAAGTGGCTGCCTTTTGGGCATCATGGCCATCCAGGTTGAAATGCTCAGAGAAGAGGCTGCCAGGGATCTGAATAGAGTGGAAATGGCCTTGAGGTGAGGAATCAGAGACCTTTCCGATCAAGAAAACACTGTGAGACAACCTTTTTAAACATCGGTGGTCAGTTTTCCCCTTCCTGGAAAAAGAAGCCAAAGACCTAAGGATTTTGAGGAGTTGAGGCATCAAGTTCAAAGTAACTGGCCAATGGGTTTAAACACCACACCGAGCACCTCATCAACTGGGCGGGGCTGAGTGGGAGGACATACAACATTTTCGTAGCTCTGGACATGACCTGCGGCTTGCTGCTCTCCCTATAGTGCCTTTGACTGGAAATAAGGTCTAGACTCATTTCAAGTATTTTGTTTTTGACTTTTTAAGAAGCAATTTGGTCACTCATTCTCCTGTATCAATTACATCACTATTATTTTCATATTTAAAAGAAAGTATGACTTATGTTTTGCTAAAGCCTTGTTGATGGCCAGCTAGATTTCTGTATAGTACCAGACATCGACAGCTAATATCTCACAGAATTAATGCATTATTTCCTCTGTGCAAGCAGTGCGTTGTAGCTTGAAAGGTATTGCTGCTCTATCATTAACAGCACAGTACGTATTTTGGAAGGAGGCGGGCTGCCTGTTCATGTAATTCTGCAGAAAAAGTTATGGTTGCAAGGGAGTAGAGGCTGTTGGCAGCCCAAGTTTTCACCTCATTTCCATTTGATGGATCCCTTCTTTTCACTCCAAAGAAAAGGTGATAGAAAAATACAGTAGGTTTGCCATAGAGATGCAACGTTACTATGTATTTCATTTTCCTGGTGGAATTTTTACTGTAATGTTGTATGATAACTTGAAATGTTTACTTGTGCCTTTGCTTTAAACAATTAAAGTTTTCCATTTTATAAAGAAAAACGAAAGGGTCTGTTTTCGTTATTCACCTTTAAAAGCAGAGGGGCCATCAAAACATGGCTAAAGAGCCCTTGACCTAACATCAGAATAGTCTTATAAGGTGCCATGCTCCTGTCTGGATAGGACAGGCTGGATGAACAATCTGGAGGAGAAAACAACGGGACTGACAGTTCCGGGGGGACATGGGAGAGGGGGAGGTGGGGGGAAGG